TAATAGCTATTCATGAAGCAAGTAGGGAATGCGTATGGTTGAGATCAATAATTCATTTTATTCGAGAAAAATGTGGTTTGGAATGTGAGAAAAGACCCACAATTTTATACGAAGACAATGTTGCATGCATAGCCCAATTAAAGGGAGGATTTATAAAACGAGATAGAACGAAGCACATTTCACCAAAATTATTCTACACACACGATCTTCAGAAAAGTGGCGACATTGATGTGCAACAAATCTGTTCAAGTGATAATCCAGCAGATTTATTCACTAAATCTTTGCCAACTTCAACTTTTGAGAAGATGGTATACAAGATTGGAATGCGGAGACTCAAATATTTGAAACAAGGTTTTCATCAGGGGAGTAAAATACGCGATGCACTCTTTTTCCCTTACTAAGGTTTTTTCCCATGGAGTTTTCCTTATAAGGTTTTTAATGAGGCACCTAGCAATGCGTATTACTAAATATGTGTACTTTTTTTCCTTCACTAGGATTTTTTTCCCACGTGATTTTTCCTAGTAAGGTTTTAATGAGGCACATTATCTTTTAATGAACATCCAAGGGGGAGTGTTATAAATATATTATATCATGGATGTTCATTTAGTACTTCATTGTAAATAAGCTTCCTGGAGAAGCTTATTCATATGGGACTCTGCCGTAAATATGTTTATCTATTTAGTACTCTATTGGAAATAAACTTCCTGAAGAAGCTTATCACTTCGGTACCCGGTTATGGATAAATATTACCCCCGATATAAGATTATCCATACTAGGTATAATAAGCTTATCCTTTCGGTACCCGGTTATGGATAAACATTACTCCTGGTAGAAGATTATCCATACCAGGTATAATAAGCTTATCCTTTCGATACTCCGTTATGGATAAACATTATCCCCAGTAGAAGATTATCCATACCGGGTACAATTAGTTTATTCTTTCAATACTCCGTTATGGATAATCATTACCCCTAGCAGAATATTATCTATACTGGGTACAATGAGCTTATCCATTCAGTACTCCATTATGGATAAACATTGCTCTCAGTAGATCCATATCTGGTATAATAGCAGCTTATACAGCAGTTTGTAGTAGCAGCTTACACAGCAGCTTCCTTTCTTCTATAAATAGAAGAGATTATAGTTCAGTATGTACATCAGTTTGAATTCGAATAATATATCAGTTTCTCTCTATACTTATTTTTACTTTACGGTCTTTATTTTATAACAAAAATAATATAATCTAAGTCTCTTTTTAATTTTCCTTTTTTACATACTTTAGGATGAATTGCTAAAGCTCAAAAATACATATGAGTTTATGACTCCTGAAGATACTGGACGTAATCGTTTTAATGAAGCTGGTATTGTTTTCGAGAAACTCAGTTATTCTTTTGCATTTTATATTTACTTGTAGTATAGATCCATGAACTTCATGCTATCACTATTTGAAGAAGTAACGAGTAAATTTCATGAGTGTTATTCAATTTTGTGTTCATTATCCAAAATTCGCTTTTCTTTCTTTTTGTTATTTCAAAGTTATTCAATTTTATGTTCATTACCCAAAAATTATTTTTCATTCTTTTGTTACACAAAAATCACTTGACTATGCTATAGTTATCACAATAATCACTTTGATCAGATTTTATAATTTTTTCACCTGAAAAGTTTATTATGCCCTTGATATTATAAATCATCCCATTTATGTAATACCTTCCATATTATATGTTATATAATATACTTTTACCTAGGTATTTTACTTATAATTAAAATAACTTAATGTTATTTTATTTATTATTTTTATAATTTATTCATACATTTAATTTTTTTCTTAACATTAATTTTCAAGATAAATAAATAGCATTATTAAATTTGTCAGTAATATTACCGTGAACAGATCTCAAGTCCACGATCTTAACCATGCTTAATGAAATACTTTTAGTGAAAATTATAAAATCAAAACTTACTGATTTATCAGCCAAGCCATACTCACTAATCCAATAAATAAAATACCCTTATTTAGCATAATGACAGATCAGAATAATACTTTTAAATAAATAATATTAACAGATAAAGCTTTAAAAATCTTAATATTAAACACAAATATCTTTGAAACTTTTTTTAAAATTTGTATTGACTATAAAAAAAAACTATCATTTGTTAAACAAATCTATTTGTTATTATTTCAAATAAATATTAAAAATAAATATTTTTATGGTTTTTATATTTTAAAAAATTTCATGTTTAAATATGATTACACAAATTAAGTGTCGTAAAAAATTAAATATATGGATATATTATACAAATAATAAATAAAATAATTTAAAGTTATTTTAATTATAAGTAAAATACCTAGTTAAAAAATATATTATATAGTATATAATATAGAAGGTATTACATAAATGAGAGGATATATAATGTCAAGGGCATAATAGACTTTTCAAGTAAAAGTATTGTAAAAATCTGGTCAAGATGATTTTTGTGATAAACAGAGCAAAGTATAATGATTTTTGTGTAACAAAAGAAAGAAAAGTGACTTTTAGGTAATGACTAATGAACACAAAGTTAAATGATTTTTACATAACAAAAAGAAAAAAAGTGATTTTTGCGTAACGAACACAAAGTTGAGTGACCATCCATAAAATTTACTCAAGAAGTAATTAGTTATGATACACTGATATAAGAAGTAATTAATGCTTGTTATATCTTCTCCCTCCTAATTTCTCTATTGAAGACATTCACATGATGACAATTTTTGTAAAGTGGACGCCATGCATTGTAATCCAAAATTCTTGAGGTAAGTTGTATATATACCCTATGAATTACATATACTTCTTATATTATAATAATATTATGGCTAAATGATTTGAATCAAAGGAAAGGATCTTGAGGACCTCTTTTGGCGATTCAAGTCAGTGGCTAAGAGGGAAAAGGTGAATTAAGTTGCTGACATTTGCATTGTGCAACACTCAAAATTTTTTATAGGAACCTTTTATTCATATAGTTTGCGCATAGTTTTTCCTGTTCATTTGTGAGGCTTACCTGGAAAAATAAAGTTTTACCTGTGTCGACACAATATAATGTTCATATATCTTCCCTACCTCTCTTTTATAAAATTACGGACGATGACTTAAGAGCACTTGAATTTCCAGGCAACTTGTGGAGATGTAGAGGTACATGTAAATACAACTTCATGTGTTTTTGCTAGTCTCAATTAGTTGTGTATTGAAAAGGAATTAATGTTCACTTAATTCAAATGACTTGCTGTTTAATTTACAGATTAATTACCTGTGGGAGTGTTGGCCATTCTACAGCAAATGTTAAGCCTATTGACAGTACCAGTTAATGCAGCTTATAAGGCAATTGACCTCACTGTAAAGGTAATTCTTTATTGAACTGAAACTCTCATAATTTCAGATCATGTCACACTAGTAGCCATATATAATCTATTGCTAGCAGTTATGTAGGAATGTATCCCAACTTTGCAGTTGCTTAATTTGTCTGGTTAAAAAAAAACTTGTTATTATTGTTACAAGAATGAATCTAATTGGGATTGCTTTTCATGAAAGGCAAAAATTCCTCTTACAGCAGCCTAAAGTTTTGTCACAGTTATTAATAACTGAAGCTTATGTTAGATATGCATCTCCCCACACATTTAGATTTCTAACTCACAATCTGGTATCTATCTAATTGGAACAAAAAACAAGCTCTTGTTCTGGGAGAAGTCTTCTGTAACCAATAAAGCAGTACTCAAGTTTCTCATTAGTTCTGAAACTATTGATGCTGTGCTTTATACTTGTTGGAACTTGAGCGGATATGGACATTGTTTTCTCAAGTGTCTATGCCTATGTTGGTGCATTGAACAAAATGTTGAGTTTCAAATAGCTGGTTTGAAGACAATAAGCCTGAAGATAGTGTGGTTGCATAAATAATGGTAGTATTGAGTTTCTTGCGACTGTTTGGAAGCTCTGGCCTGGAAGAAGTGCAAATAAGTTGTAATGCATTTTCATTTACTCCTATCTCTCCATTCTTCTGCATGTTGATGTAAACCTTGTAGTTTATTCTTGAAAAAATTATGCTTAAATGTCTCAGTATGTGATGATCATTTAAGCTTTGCATTGTCCCAATTAAACACAGATACATAATGTCACATTGTCAATTTTAAGGGACCATAATGTTTTCTCGCTGAAATAAGAAACAGCCTTTCTTGACTTATATTTCTTTTTTATTCAGGTTTTCACTCTTTCTACACTCAGTTGATTTATGGCTATGGCCAGTAAGAATACATTGATCCATCACTTTAATTCCTGAGTTTTGTTGCATTGCTATTGTTCCAATTAGTGTTGAATATTTCGGGAATTTTTTGTTGCCAAGAGTTGATGCCTTTGGATGATGATTGGAAATTGGACTGTGGAATTGAAGAAGCAACGCCTTCTGTACATCTAAGATACAACTCAATTAATTCAAGTCTTAGAAAATCTCTAGTCAAAACCGAAAGGAAAGATAGTGTGTACGTCAGTTGGTTTTGAATTAGAGCTGGGTGAAGTGTGAGCATTTGAATGCTTTGTTTCTAAAGTTGTAAAGTGAATCTTGACACATAATGATGTATGGTCAAAGCCTAAGATTTAGATAAGGTAAGTTCAATGCGGTCAACAACATCAATTAAATTTTCTTTTAACTGCTGGCTGCATCTTGTTCATGCATTGGACAGCACACCCTGTTTTATGCTAAACCACATTTGTTTACCATAATTAAGTTATAAAATTGATGTCCGTATGTGTATCAATTAATAATACTAAGTGATAACATAGAATAATAGTAAGTGATCGATAACAGTGTATGTACATGTTATTCATTGGATCGGTAAAAACACAGTGTGGATAAGTTTTTCCCGATAAGGAAAAAGTAAGTACTGCCTGGAGAGGAGCTGCTCCCAGATTGATGAGATGAGACGATAAATTTCTATTTTTGCATTTGAAAAGAGCAATATTGAGAAAAGCATATATTGAGGACACCAGAAAAAATCAGCTATCATTAATACAAATATTGTGTCCATAGATTATAAAAGCGCACCACTTGACCTCCGTTTGGGGAATAGGGTGCAGTTGCTATCAAAAGATTGTGATGAAATTACATGGACTTATAGTACTATTTTACTTGCAAAGAAACAAAACAGAAATATGGAACACTTACAAGATTCCTAAGACTAAGTATACCTTACCCTAAACTAGCAGTTTCTTAAGTAACGGAAGGCCCAGACGCAACGTTTTGTGTTTCACTTCCTGAGTTTCTGGATTCAACATATGAACGAGCCATTTGGATCATTGTCGAAACCTCCTTCTTGTACTGCATAGGGGAGGTGAAAGACAGTAAAGGAGAAAAAGAAGCCATATCAATCTCTTGTAAGTCACCTTAGCTATACTAAATGGAAAAGGATCCTTCCAAAGGTGATAATTACCTCGTCAACAGCTCCTGCCTTAATTTTAGACTGCATAATGCACCATTTCTTGAAATGTGCACCTGTTCAAATCTTGGAAGTTAGTTCACCTTTACAGTATCATATCCCCATTCTTGAATATGCTGTTGAAACTCTAGGTTCTAATCTTCCCGGTTCTACCGCAATGTTCACAATACCCATTACGTAACACAATAGACACCTATAACTACGCATTTGCCTGCATCATGCTAATACTTCACACAGATACATAGACATAAATAATGACGACAATGCAAATACTGAACAATCAGCTTGGACTACTGCAACTTAAGATTAGATGATCTTAGAAGGTGGAACTTGGGAAGAACAAGTGAAGGCACTAACCATTGCACCAGACAAGCAGTTTCTCACTTGACTTAAAATCTAAGTGTAATAAATGATAAGGGTAGAACCTAAGTTGCTCTGACATGGCAGTTTAGGTGCCGTACCCGTGTCGACACGGCGCTAGTATGAGTGTGGGTATGGGATCCGTACCGGATTTAGTCAAACAATTTTGGGTACTTTGACCACTACGAACGGAACAATTTGAGGCAAGATACAATTTGATTCTCGAATTCAAAACCAAAACCACGGTAAATTTGAAATATCTTATCTAGGAAATCAATCCTTTACGTATCTACAACTTGAGAATAAAAAAGAAATACACACTTTACAAGCTATACGTAAGTATTCCACAAAATTTCTCATAATTTAAAGATATTTTTATAGTTTTTTTTTTGAATTATTTTTAGCCGGATCCCCGCACCCGTATCCGTACTAGGATCCATATCCCCAAATCTTGAAATTTACATCTCGAAGAATCCGACCTCTAGATCCGCACCCGTGTCGGACACCCGCACCCGTGTCCGAGCAACTTAGGGTAGAACCCCAAAAGAGTCAACAAAAGAATAATATATTTAAGGCGACTAGTAAGTTAAATGACAGAAAGCATACAGCAAATATAAGCTAGAAGACGGCCAGAACTGTAACACAAGGATGACTTAGAAAGATGAGTGGCCTAAAGATGCACTAGATATTAATGGCAGACTAGTTAATCTCTTAGAGAGGTAAAGTTATTCCAGGTGGCGCATATTACAACTGAATAATTAAATATTCCAGATCCGGGTCTGTTTCTAGCAAGAATCTAGTATCAAGGATTGCCAAGAAGAACTGTGATGCCCTATTCTAAAGAGACGTCTTCAGAATACCATAATGCTTCATTTACAAACCTCATCAGAAAGGACTCGGGACCAGGACCCAGAAAAGTGAC